AGTAGTTTGATACTACTTTTTTGGAAATGGTGTGTCAAACTTAGTCAACATAAGTTTTTTCAACGTTAACTCAATCAAACTAAAATTTTTTTTCACTATTATCACTATTAAATTGCGAACATTCCTGAGCTAAAGATATGATCTACGGGAACAATTTTTAGCATTTTCAAAAATATGTCTATTATCACTTAACTAAGAGACATAGAATTTTTTATTATTTTAATTTTTCCTAAAATTTAAAGAACGGGTTTATTGTATAATTTAATTTGTCTTACTAGTTTCGCCTATAACGGCATCTTCAGAGATTTCGTCAAAATTTTATGAAAACAACAATAACACGTTAATACTTACATTATATGATGTATATTATATGATTATACACGGTAAATTCAAAATGGTTGAACTACGTCTGAGACTTACATATCGGAATTAATAGTTTAAAAATTGTATCAAGACCTCGTTTTGTACAATGTTCGATATAATTTAATCTTTGAAATTGTTATTTTTATAAAATTTGACGAAGTCTCTGAAGATGCCGCTTTAGGCGAAACTAGTAAAAAAATGAAATTATACATTAAACCAGTTAAAATACAGTGAATTCGTTGTATAAATTTTACGCCTGATACACTGGTAGAATGGATAAAATTAACTTCATGTTATTTTTATTTCTCGCGCGGTACCTGCTTGACTTTGAGTTTCGGGACACCTGTGATACAGAGCGGACATGAGCGGAATATTATAAAATTTAAATACAGAATTAGAATAGACATGAATACACAAGAATATTAACGCCAATATAACCAACGAAAATATTGTAGTTTTTGTTTTTACAGCATTTTACGACACCTTTTACCACGCCATCTAACACGATCCTGCGTATAACACGTATTTTCTTAAATTAAATTACAGATTTCTAAATTACCGTACATTTTTGTACGGTATTCACCTTTGGACCGTACACCATACATTTAGTGGTATTACCGTACATTTACGGTAATTACCGTACATATGGCAACACTGCTTACAAAGGAAGTGTCGGGACTGTCCCTCGCCGGTTTTGTTGCAATTTGGTACAGCGATATATGGCCAAAACGAAAATAGCTATAGAAATGTGGTACATGTAAACTGATATTCATTTTCAAAGAGCTTTCCATTGATATATCACACATATATCTGAGGGCTTCAGGGGGTAAACTACCCCTAGTCCTTTGGAATATTTTAAAAACTACCGTGTCGATTTTGGCTATATTAAGTATCCTTATAGTACGTTTAAAAATATTAATTACGTGTTTTTTCTTATTTGCCTCTGACCATCCCCTGCAATGTTATGGGGTATGATAAATAACCCCTTTCCTTAACAATAATGTGTTAAACTGTAAATAATAATACTATATAATAAAATCAGTTTACATTTCATACTTCTTGCCCCAGGGGCTTTATTAGCACGTATAACAAAAATACGTAAACCTTATTTTTGGCCATACTATCGCTGTACCAAACTGCAACAAAATCGGTGAGGGACACTTCCGACACTTCCCTTGTTAGAAGGAAAAAGTATTATTGCAATCAATCCCTAAGCCGACGACCACCTATGCCGAGGTCTCTAAAAATACTTTATTAAATTATAAAATTAATATACAGGGTGTTTCAGAATTGCACGGCACTATTTTAGGGATGTATTCTTCAGCACAAAATAAACAACAAAGTTCATATAACCATACGTCTCAAATTCTGTGGGAAGTCTTATAGCATCAGGACGGCCATTGATAATTACTGCGGCTTCCACGATGCGATTTCTGAGCTCTTGTTGGGTGCCGATAGATGTAGCGTAAACCATAGATTTTATCCAGCCCCACACAAAATAGGAAACCGTGGTGGCCATTTCACAGGTCCGTTTCGATCAATCCATCGGTTACCATATACTCTGTTTAAATAATCAGTGGCAAGATGAGAAAAGTGAGAAGGGCCTCATATAAGTTCTTTTGCAAAAAATTCAAGTAACATATTCCGGAAAGCCTGGGTGGTAAAAAGAAAGAGCCTTTGAGATTGTCACCAAGAAGACCACACAAGACATTTAAGGAAAAAGTATGTTGGATGAGTAGAAGCAGTCGTATGAGGGTTTTCTTCGTGCCAAGTATGGGTAAATTTCTGCGCTTGTTATAGTCTTCTGGTAATAAATCTTGCACATGTGTAACGTGATATGGATACAAATGTTGCCCACGCAATGTTCGCCATACGCTTGTACTCGAAACATCGAAACAAAGTGACAATCTTATGGTGCTAGTACCAGGAGATAACTGAACAGCATCGAGTATCAATTCTTCAACGTTAGCAGTTCGTCGAAACCTTTGTCGATCAGCGTTCATTCGTGTAGATTTTAGCGTGCCAGTTTCCCTAAGACGTCTTTTAATGGCTTCAAACGTTTTACGATTTGGTATCCTTCTAGAGCGAAATTTTTCACGGTACCTTAGAACAGCAGCAGTTCCATTTTTAAGTACCTCGCCATAAATTAAGAACATGTCTGTTTGTCCTGCATAAATTAACGTTTATATTATGTACATGAGTTCCAAATGTAATTTTTCTACAGAGGTACTATGGAGAAGATAGAAATATCACTCTATTAACTAAACATAGAAAATAATTTTTGAGCCTGTTTCTCATATTGAGCCAATTAACTTTGATAAGGGCGTGCGAAACTCGTTCAAATTTATGAATACCAAAACAGTATCAGAATACTACATAGGCTTTTATCTCTATCATTTATTATGTCATCGGTTACATTCAACAATGCAGAGTCACAACTATGATTAGAACGAAAACCAAACTGAGTAGAACGTAGTATGTCATTGTTATTTATATATTTATGTAACTGCGTTTCTATAATACGCTCTAACACCTTAGAAAGAACTGGCTAGATACTTATGGTTTCTTAAGATATTATAATATTTCTGAAATATCTACAAATTTAAATTTATCACAATGCTCAGGAAAATGTTCATTCAAATCATAAAATTGTAGTAAATCATTACATGGAATAGAATTTCTAGCAGATTGCATGAAAAAATCGTTAATTTTATTTACGTCTTTTAAGTTAAAGGGAATAGAGTTGTATCAAATGAAGTTGCAGTTCTTTTGACTGATTAAGCCTAGGTCGCTTGGGGCCGAGACACCGCAATATGATAATCAGTTGCAGGTTGATATGATATTAATTATAGAGCCTCGGCCGCAAGCGACCTCGGCTTTATCAGATGAAGTTGTAGTTCTTTTAGTTCTTGCTAAAACGCATTATTACTACTGTAACTACATCGATACAACGTTGATGTACTTTTCGCTGTTTTGATTAACTCTTTACATAGAAATGTTGTTAATTATTGAACTAAAAGTATATTGGAATAACACATCAGTCAGCAAACACATCGTATAGGCTAGTGGTGTCCATAACGTCGATCTCGATCGACTGGTCACAAAATCATGAATCTGAAATATCTATATCTGGGCCTTAGAGCCAAAAAAAAGGTTAGTTTTAAAATGTAAAAAAAGATTTTAAACCCTTCGGTTGATCTTGGCAAAACATTTATATAAAAAGTCGATCTTGGTCAAAAATTAATGGACACCACTGGTATAGGCATTAAACTCCTTATGTGTTAAGGTCTGGTCCAGGTTTTTGCATAATGAGGTTGTACTACATATCCCAACGATATTTTTTCTTCTATTGATGGCACTTTTTGGCAATTTTTTAGCAACATTTTAGTTTTTCTGCATATTACATTACGTATTGTTCGGCTCCTTCAATCATCCTTCTATCCATCTCCTATTCTACCAGATTTAGTGTTACTCAGGAAGATTTTTTTTGGTCTCAATCAGAACTTTTACAACCTGTTACTACAATGGCATCAATGTTACTCGCATGTTAAGAGAAGTTTTTGTAAATTTGGACATTTCTGAGTTGTTCTGGAATAATTTGTATTCAACAAGCCACTCCGATGGGTTCAAACTTGAGAGGAGTTTTTGTGCCGTTTTAAAAATCTGTGCTACGATTTTTTTACAACTTCTGAACTAGTCTGAGAAACTTTTTCGGAACTTCTAAGAACTTCGAACTTTTTGTTATTGTGATGTATTTTGACCATTCATGATTTACCCAACAAGTTCAGAGTGTTCGATTAACTCGTTACTTTGGATGATTATTTGCTATTCTAGGGGATTTAGGGTTAATGTGAAAGTGAGAATTATCCTAAATAATTTAACGACTTTAATTGATCGTGAAAGAGTCTATTTTGAAGTATTTTCCTGAATCCCGTAATCCAGCAATTCGATTTCGAATGAATAATAAATACTTTTAGTTTTAGTGTATGATTGACTATAGAGTTAATAGGAGTTGATACGTGATCGATTTCACGGTAACCAAAACGAAATTAAAAGAAGCGGGGGGAGGCCATAGAACGTGGTGGGATTATTGCGTATTTGAATGGTGTATAATGGCACGTCAAAAGAGATACGATTCCGCATATTGCGGAGGTTAAATAAAATGTACAAACAATAGTTTCGCTCGATATTCATTTGTTAATAGATAAATAATCGTCAAAGGCATTATCAAAGCGCGGAAAAACGGCTCTGTCGGAAACGAGCTCGAGAAGGTGTAATTCCATCCGGTCTTTTTACGTACGGTACCGATATATTGATTTGAAATTAGAGCGGTTGTTCGACGAAAGAATCTCGAACGCTGCAAACCGATTCGAAATGACCGACGCAAACAGGCACGGTCCATTGATTTCAATTTTTATTCTCGTCATGTAGCTAGGGTGCATTTTTAATATTACTCGGACGACCATATTTCAATTAACGGATTACTCAGTTAAATGAAAAGAAGAAAAGGTTTGCATAGCTGTTAATATATAACTATAATATAATAGGTTATTATTATTGTTTTTTTTTGTTATTTAATTTTTGGAAGATTTTTGTAATTAACAGATTAGTTTTAAGAAAAATGAGTTAGAACTTACTTGAGGTATCCTGTTTTGGGGCTGTCTGCGGTTGCGTCGTTTGAGTTGGGGTGTTGGCCTGTGTGAGGAGCGGCTGCACCGCCAGCAGCGTCGGTGCAGTGGTCCCTGGTGATGCCGACCACCCACCTTTCATGTCCTGCAAACAACCGCCACACATTAATCAGCTGCACCTCCCGCCGATCGGAATTCCCAACTTTCGAATTATGAAAAACCCCGAAACAGCCACTAATTTGATCTCAACGCCTCGGGATTTTTGGTTCGAGCCCCAAATCGCCACCGGAACCGATTTTTGGGACGTTACCGATTGCACAAAATGCGCGCAATTTTATTAATTGACATCGTCCACTGGCGATCGGACGCCCCATACCTCCATTCGGCAATTTATCTTAAAAGCGTTTTACTGTAACCACCCAACGAGATACGAATACCACGTATCGCATTGTGCGCTTATTCGTGTTCCATTTAGTAACTACATATTCGCTAAATTAAACCCTATTAAAAATTTTCATCCGTATACAAGTCTCTAACTATATTCATTATGTAAGTCCAACAAAACCACGATACAACGGATTAACACGGGGAAGGGAGTGTCCGTTATAGCCAAAAGTCCGGTATGAAAAATTTTTAATTTGCACTCTAAAGTACTCTTCACACCGTTGCGTTCAGTCTAACTGGCTTTTTATTTATACAAGGACGGTAGAATCTAAGAGGCCACATTCCGGGAACAGATGCATAGCGCGAAGGCCCGTTCGACCCACGACAAAAAAATTGAAAAATAACACCAAATTACTTAAAACATAATTTTCGTGGCTTCTTCGCGAATTGGTCAACCAGATTATTAATAAAACCCTCAAAGTTTTCAAAAATATGCTTCCTATACACATTCATCATGGGAAGACCATTGAGACGACATTCTGCCATAGTGCTTCTAAGCCAGGTTTTATTGTCCTCAAGCTGCTAAAAGATAGTTCAACAGTATATGTCGTGCAGGGTAAAGTGACCAAAATTATAAAGGCTTTTCTCGTTTCAGGGAAAAAAATGTCGGCATCTTTTATGACATCCACAACACTTAATTCTTTTGAGTCAGGTTTATCTTGTCATAGATTTTTCCATAGTTCGATTTCGTTGTTGATATTTGATAAATTGTAAAATTGGGAAAAGACTTCACCAGCTTCTACGAGGTCTTCAAGGGACATGTCTAACATTTGAGCTGGGTGTAATTTAGAAAAGGAAAATGACGGGGTGTTTTCTTCAGAAAAGCGAACTTCAAAAGAATTAATAATCGAGTCTAAGTATGGTATTATTAAAGACCTCCGCCAGAATTCTGAGGGGCTTGCTGCTGGGTGGTTGTTCTGATGTTGTTGTCTCTCAACAATACGGGGCAAGTACTTCATGTCTTCTCCCAGTCCAAGTTTTTCTGCAACGATAGTAGCGTCTCTAATAATTGCATATGTGACGTTTTCTGGACCGTTACGATGGTTTTCTATAAATTCCAAAAGGCGGCTAATGTGCTGGGATGCCTTAACTGCATTCAAAGCTACGGATTGGAGCACGTTTACCACAGGTTCCATCATAGCCGAGTATTTGGCTATCAAAATAAAGCTGAGAATAAACGAAACTCTAGAAGCTGCTGCATGGAGCTGATAAGTATTTTTTCTAGTTGCATTATTTATTCTTATTTTCTTCCCGTGACGAGGTTTCAAAGGCCTCCATTATAATAGGAAAATTCTCATTAAAAACACTAATATTTTTGTGTTTCTCACTCCACCTTGTTTCGCAAAGCTTGGAAATATTTGGTATCAATTTGCGTCTCAAAACTGATTCTTGAAAAACTGTAATAATATCTTTGATGGTACCTTCCTATGATGAAAGCACAAAGCTTTTTTACATTTTCTGCGTAGGATTGCTTGCACACCACCTTCTTTCCCGGACATCGTCGAACAACCGTCAAATCCTAAACCAACACATTTGTCCGGATCAAGATCTTCTGCCGAAAACTCATCTATTGCTTTTGCAATACATTTCGCATCCAAAGCATCAAGTTTGACGAATCCGAGGAATAGTTCTTGAGCTTCCTTGGTTTCTAGATCAAAATATGACATCCCATTCGATAGTTGTTCAGTACTCGAGATGTATATTTATTGTGTTTTAATTTTGTTTTCGAATCTACTTCTAGGGGGGGGGGGGGCAGTGGCCCCCCTCTGCCCCTCTCTGGCGACGCCCTTGTATAGCAACCCATCATATCCCGCACATGCTCGATCGGGTTTAAATACGGAGAGCGAGTAGGCCAGGGGAGAATTTCTACGCCTTCTTCGTGTAGAAAGTTCTGACAGATGTGGGCGATATGAGGTTGGGCGTTATCCTGCTGGAACATGATGTTAAGGCACTCGTTTAGCCTGGGTATTACAACGGGCTGTAAAGCCTCGTGGATGTATCGGTGTGCATTTAAAGTATCAGAGAAGACAACTAGAGGTGACTAATACCCCAACGATATGGCACCTCATCCCATAAAACCAGGAGTTTACAACGGAGATTACCAGGATACAACGTTGTCTTTCTTTGCACCATAGAAGTCTGGCTCTTTTGTGAAGTTGCGTCAAAGGAATACGTCATAAAAACGTAAAAGATGAAATTCGTCGATACAAAGTTCTCCGCGACACTATGTGTCTCAGATCTCTCATCCAGTCAACACCAGTTGCAGCCGAAAAACGAAATCTGTCTCTAAGACTCATTTAGGTGGTTAGAGAATTGGTTAAACCGCGGTCTTCTACCAATTCTAGGCATTGTTAATAATCGAAGAAATAACGTTCACTCACCAAATGGCATTTACCCTTAGGATTCCAGCTTTGGTGACTCATCGTTTTCGAGGTGTTGCAATTTTTTTTGGCTCGTAGTAGATTTTGTCCGTTATATCGGAAGTTCGTTCTAACAAGTACCACTAAAACAACAAAACTTTGAAAAAGAAGTCAATAACATATTAAAAATCGGACATAACAATGGTTACAACATCTCCACTTTACAATCAATAATTAATGGTATTCATAAAAATAATATTAGAAAACTAGTTTACCCTAACTTTCAATCTAACAAACAATTTCTAACCCTCTCATACAATCATAATTTAACTAAATTTACAAAAATCTAAATAAATTTGATATAATCCCGGCGTTCCTATCAGGAAACAAAATTAGCGATTTATTGACCAACAACAAACACAAATTCGAAGACCTCCAAAAAAGCGGTGTTTATCTAATCAGATGCGATGATCGTGATGACAATTATGTGGGGCAAACAGGAAGGAACCTCAATACCAGACTGAAGGAACACAAAACCAAAAAGACATCCAACGTATATAAACATTTACAAGAACATAAACATTCAATCAACACAAACAATATATTTCTACTTAAAAACATAAACAAGTCTAAACAATTGGATCTCTACGAAGAATATTTTATACATAAATATAAAAAAGAAAATACAGATAAGTTACTTAACGACATTACAGACATAAATAATTTCCGCTTTTTCTTAAAAATGATTTAATTCAATACATTGCATGGATGTTAATTGGGAACTACACCACACTACACTTGAATTTAAATTTAAATTTCCCGCTAAACGCTAATTCCAACCGACAATAACGTACATCTTTACATATTACTTCCTCAGTCCACCGCCATCAATCAAACTAAAAGATACGACTCATAGCAAAAAGATTAAATTAATTCTTCGCTCAATATTTTCAAAATCCTTACAAACTCAAAATAGATATTCAACAATTCGCCATCATATTTGGATAATTTTTGAAACTTTAATAATATTTTCTGACCCAAACTACTATTAGTGGACACTTTGAGATTAAGTAGAACGTGAGAAACACACGGAATAGAAATAAACCTTCATATTAACAATTTCAACGAATTTTTACAAGTTTTGCCATTTGATAAATGGTAAATATAGAAGAAGAAAAAATCTAGTTGGAACTTTTACTATGTAATTTTTCTTGGTACCTTTGTGGAACAGATAGGCTTAAAAATAATAACAACTCTGCCTCGTATATTGGAATTTTGATAACATACAATCATAATAATCAATCGAGAACATGTTGAAAACAACACGAACTCCCCCAAGATTGTCGTAAAACTAATGACGGTAAATATTTTTTCACTACTTCAATATTAGATTTAAGACCTAGCTCTAAGTTCACTTTCTACTACTTGTATGATTTTTCTTTCGTAGTCGTGCCTGTCGAAGCCTCTAGAAGGGGCGAAACACGTGTAGCACTTATTTAAATGAATAAATCATCGTTTTGGGCCAATTTAAGCCTTTTATTTCGTTCTAACAAGGTCCGTTGTATCGAGGTTTAACTGTAGTATTAAAATGTTTGTAAAAATAAAGGTAGTTTTAAATGTCGCGGAGTTTTTCGCGAACGGAAACAAAACAGCGTCTACCAAAATCGAATTCTGGATAAATGCCTTTTTAAGTGAGCCCCCAAATTAGTTCCGCTGGGAAAAACTGCGAAACTTCCCCGCGGAAGTTAGGGATTAAAGGGCCGGGCTTTACCATAATCGATTAACTTTGTATATTTCAAATGAAGGGCAAGGGAATTTTCATTTTGCCCCGTTCAGATACAGATGCCGGCTTAAATAAAGGATCTAATTATGGGGAATAAAGGTTTTCCTTTGAGGGAACGGGCTGCTTCCGAGTTACTATTCAATTTTGGTTTTTTTAGCCGTCGTTTTCTTTAGCGAAATTAACAGAAACGTATATACGGCTGTAAAAAGTAGTTTTAAGGGTTGCGCATAAATAGAGTATAGGTTTAAGATTTCTCACGAGGGTCGGTCGATGGTGTCATAAAGTTAATTTATCTGCAAGGTGGAAACAAAAGATCCGAGGATTCGAATTCTCTTAAAAGGATTTACCATGGATGACGCGAATAGAATTAATTTAATGAAGTACAAGGAAAAAAGCCGCTTCGATAAATCAACACCCTAATCCTGCGAAACGCGTGCCTCTGGCATGGAAAAGTTGGTGCTAACTTGCAACCCCTCCATAACATATGCAAAAATTGTCCTGTCCCTTTACTAGGCACATTTATAAAGATTCTTTTAAATTATTAATATTTTCAGACCT